CTGAGCGCTTCTTTTCAAAGAACCTGTACTACATTTTTTTTTTTTCTACCATTAGTAACAAAGTTTCCCATAACCAGGCCCTGGGGACACATCCTAGTAGAGGTGCTTTCTTGCTAACAAGAAGGGGCTCTGCATTGTGACTCACGCCTATAATCCAGCACTTTGAGGCCAAAGTGGGAGGATCACCTGAGGTCAGGAGTTCGAGACCAACCTGGGCAACATGGAAAAACTCTGTCTCCACAAAAAAGTTTTAAAATTAGCTGGGTGTGGTGACACGTGCCTGTAATCTCAGCTACTAGGGAGGCTGATGTGATCCCCGCTGCACTCCAGCCTGGATGACAGAGCAAGACCCTATCTCCCCCTCCCCCCCCAAAAAAAAAAAGAAAGAAAAGGGGAGGTATAGGAACTACGTATCACACTACCCTTGTTAGATTAAAAGGGTGGGTACTAGACCCAGAAGACTGCAACGAAACAGAAGAAAAGAGGCTGAGAAGCTTAAAAACTATATATTTAATTTTTTTTTATTTGGTGACAGAGTTTCGCTCTGTCACCCAGACTGAAGTGCCATGGCGCAATATCGGCTCACTGCAGCTTCCACCTCCTGCGTTCAATTAATTCTCCTGTCTCAGCCTCCCAAATAGCTGGGACTACAGGCGCACGACACCACGCCCGGCTAATTTTTTCTGTTTTAGTAGAGATGGGGTTTCACTGTGTTGCCCGTGTTGGTTTGAACTCCTGAGCTCAGGCAATCCACCTGCCTTGGCCTCCCAAAGTGCTGGGATTACAGGCGTGAACCACTGCACCTGGCCATAAAAACCATTTTATTTAACCTCACGTTAAATAAAGTCTCATCAAACATTGAAGGCCCGTTTTGGGGCAAGAGAAGGACAAAAAGACAGACACACAAAGAGGAACCAGAATAGAGGGGGAAGCATTTGGGTCGGCGGGGGATGTATGCCGATGCTGCTGGGAAGGCAGGTGGCACCAGGAGGGAGGGAGCAGATGAGGTTTGCCAACAGAGATGTCAGTACCCCCAGGACAAAGCTGAAAGAGGGTTTAACTTGCTTTGAGAGGCTTCCCAGGGTTTAATGCAAAACGTGCCACGTGTTTGTTGGCTCTGGGACCTCGAGCCAAGATCTGCTACCTTCTGTGTAATGTGGGGTAACATGCAATTTACAGGGCAGTCAGAGTCACACGAGTGTTAAGGGGGGCGATCCTTGGGCACAGTTTAGGTGTCTGACCAGGGCCTCACAGCAGGACCAGGTGTCATTGTTACAGTATGGTAGGGGTCAGCAAGCACTTCACGAATCCCACCAGGAATCCTGGCCCCAGCCCAAGGCCCTGCAGGTGCCAGAGAGCCTGCTGAACAGTGGGGTGAATAATGGCTCCTAACCCCTTCCTGGGGTATGGGCAACAGAGGCTGGCTCCAGGATTTCCATTTTACTCTCACCAGCCGACGAGCATCTGTATAGCAGGTGGAATGTCCTCACATTTGCTGGTGGAATCTATTTCATCCTCTTGACTTCTTTCCTCAATCCGTCTCACACTGCTTGCTCGAAAATCCCTTAGCTCTCTCCGTCTTGGTTATTGAGAACTTTCTTCAAGCTCCGCTCAAATCCCTTGTCAAAATTCCCACTCCCTTGCTGGGTGCAGTGGCTCACGCCTGTAATCTCAGCACCTTGGGAGTCCAAGGCAGGTGGATCACCTGAGGTCGGGAATTTGAGACCAGCCTGACCAATGAGGAGATATCCTGTCTCTACTAAAAATACAAAATTAGCCTGGTGCGGTGGCACATGCCTGTAATCACAGCTACTTGGGAGGCTGACGCGGGAGAATCGCTTGAACCCAGAAGGGTGGAGGTTGTGGTGAGCCGAGATCGCGCCATTGCACTCCAGCCTGGGCAACAAGAGTGAAACTCCATCTCAAAGAAAAAAAAAACAAAACTGTCACTCCCTAGAGGTTTTGCTGATTGTTACACCTAACTACTTTAAAAAAAAAAAAAAAAAAACAAAAAAAAAACCAAACAAAGAGCATCAGCAAAGTTTAAGGGGGGGGTGGCGGCGGGGGGGGTTCTATTGCTTGTTCATATTCAAAACAATTTTTTTCATTTGTCTTCCATGGAGACAAATACATTAAAACTACAGGGAAGGCTGGGTTTGGGTTCACACCTGTAAATCCCAGCACTCTGGGAGGCTGAGGCTGGAGGATCACTTGAGGCCAGGAGTTTGAGACCAGTCTGGGCAACACAGTGAGACCCCTCATCTCTACAAAGTAATTTTTTTTTTTTTTTAATTAGCTGGGCATGGTGGTGCACACCTACAGTCCCAGCCACTCAGAAGGCTGAAGCTGTAGGATTGCTTGAGCCCAAGAGGTTCAGGCTGCAGTGTGCTATGACTGTGCCACTATACTCCAGTCTTGAGTGACAGAGCAAGCCCCTGTCTCTCTAATAGAACAAGGCACAGTGGCTTACACCTGTAATCCCAACACTTTAGGAGGCCAGTGCAGGTGGATCATCTGAGGTCGGGTGTTCAAGACCAGCCTGGGCAACATGGTGAAACCCCATATCTACTAAAAATACAAAATTAGGTGGGTGTGGTAGCACATGTCTGTAATCCCAGCTACTCATGAGCTGAGACAGGAGAATCGCTTGAACCTGGGAAGCGGAGGCTACAGTGAGCCGAGATCATGCCACTGCACTCCAGCCTGGGTGAGACAGAGCGAGACTCTGTCTTAAAAATAAATAAATAAAATTAAGTAACAAAACCAACTGGAGGTGGTGGCTCACACCTGTCATCTTAGCACTTTGGGAGGCAAGCTGGGAGGATCGTTTCAGTTCGGAAGTGTGAGACCAGCTGGGGCAACATAGTGAGATCTTGTATCTACAAAAAAATTTAAAAATTAGCTGGGTATGGTGGTGTGAGTCTGTGGTTCTAGCTACTCAGGAGGCGTAGTGGATGGCTTGAAGCTAGGCGCTTGAGGCTGCAGTGACTGGAGACTGCACCATTACACTCCAGCTTGGGTGGCAAAATGAGAACTTGTCTCAAAAAGGCAACCAACAAATAAACCAAACCAAACCAACAAAAAGAAAAAAGAAAAAACCTGCAGGGCGGCCTCTTGCCTTTTACTCCGTCTCTGCTCCCTGACACAGGTTCTGGTGGAACTCAGCGAAGACAGGCAAGAATCAAGAACAGATGTCAGCGGAACACGGCCCTCAACATAAAGAAAATAGCTTGGTGGCTCACACCTGTAATCCCAACACTTTAGAAGGCTGAGGCGGGTGGATCACTTGAGCCCAGGAGTTCAAGACCAGCCTGGAAATCAAAGTGAGACCCTTGTCTCTATGAAAAATTTTCAAGTAAGCCAGGCATGGTGGTGTGCACCTGTAGTCCTAGCTACATGGGAGGCTGAGACAGGAGGATCACTTGGGCTCAGGAGGTGGAGGTTGCAGTGAGCCGTGTTTGTATCACTGCACTCCATCCTGGGCAACAGATGGCGACCCCATCTCCAAAAAAAAAAAAAAAAAAAAGAAAGAAATAAAGAAAAGGAGAGAGAGAGAGAGAGAGAGAGAGAGACAAGGAAGGAAGGAAGAAAGGAAGGAACGAACAAAGGAAGGAAGGAAAGAAAGAAAGAAATGGTTTTATAAATTACAGTGCTTCAAAAGTGAAAAGGCTTTATATCCAGAGTTTAGTGACAAGAATGGACTCAGGTCAGTTTTTCATGCTGGCAAGAGTACCACAGCAGTATAGGATGGTAATGATACGGAGCACTAGGCGTGGGGTATATTGGAATTGTCTGTAATGTCTTTGCAACCTTTCTGTAAATTTGAAGTTTTTTCCAAAGTAAGAAGTTATTTTAAAAGAAGACTTGCTCAGATTGGTAATTAAGAGTGCTGAGTTATATTTAAGTGCTCGATATGGGCCCAACCCTTAGAGGTTCCACAAGTAGATGACACTTTACCCCGTAGGGTCCAAGAGGAGGGACCACAAAGATGTTGGAGATCCTCTTACTCCTCAGACATGCCACTGCCTCCCAAGAGCCCACAGCTGAGGGGGACCAGTGCATGATTATAAGACTCAACGACACCAACATTAAGCAAACTCCTGGCACCTGGCAGGTGCTCAGCAAACATCTGTTACATCTGTAGCTTGCTCAAGTGACGCGCCTGGAAAGCCTCCCCAGGGTAGGTAAGCCTATCCTTGGAACCTAGGTAGTGATTTAGGAGTGTCAGGGGCCGGTGGGTAGGAAGAATAACATTCTTAGCAAAGAAAACATCAGGTTAAGGTGGGTATATTTTAGACAGAGGAAGAAGAAATGCAACTGAACAGAAAAAGCGTGGGGTGGGGAAACTGATGTCTTCCATGTTCATTATCTGCCTAAAATAGAAACTCTGCCTTCTTCCCATTCTTAGAACGCAGCACATAATTTGGACATTAAAGATGTCAATCAGAGGCAAGCATGGGGGAGGAGGATCCTGTTTAGATCTCTGAAGCTCAGGCTTTTGCAATCAGTTAATCAAACCTATGCCACAAGTGGTAAATACTGAGGACGCTCCATTTTAGTAATAATCTTTACGTGGCAACTTGAAAGCGTTTCCGCCTTTCTGATAAACATTCCGGGGAGACCTCTTTTGCCCTCATTTCCTTGCCCAGTTGAGGCTGTATTTTTTAAGGAAGGAAGAACTAATAATCGGGGATCTTGTCCATTTTCCCTATATCTTTTCACAGTGGGGCGGGAGAAGACGGGCAGCGGGGGAGGTGAAGGGAAGAAAGGGCGGGGGAATCAAAGATTAGGCGTTGTTGTCCGTGCCAAAACGGAGTGAACCCATTATCAACAAATCAAAATCCAAAACGGAACAAAAAAGTCACCGGCCCGCACTACTCGCGCCCCCGCCCGCCCGGACGCCCAACAGGTGCTTCCCGGGCCCGCCCGCAGCCACAGTATCCTTGGGTGGCCACAAAGTAACCGCCCGCGCAGCTGCAGCGAGGCCCGCCCGTACTCACGGCCGCTCCGCGGTCCGCGCCCCAGCCCGCAGCGCCCATCCGGCCCAGGCCCGGTCAGCGCGGGCTCGGCTCTCAGGCGTTCCCGGCGCGGCCCGGGACGCGCTGAGGCCGTTAGCGCCTAGGCAGGGCGCGAGACATCCTCCCGCCGCCGCCCCGCGGGCCGCCTGCCCTTTGTTTTGGAGCGGTGGCCCGGCCCAGCCGCCGTTAACGGCCTCGGAGCGCGGCGCCGGCCAATCAGCGCGCCTTGTCGCCAGCGCCCCGCCCGCGTCCCGCCTCCGTTTCACCCCGCGCCCCGCCTGCCCCGCGCGCCTCCGCCCCGCGCGCTCCAGGCCAAGGAGCTCCGCCGGCTCGCACCCGGCCCGGAGGGGCAGGAGCGCACGTGCCGCGGGGCGCGCCGCACTCTCATTGGCTGGCCTGCCGGGCGCGGCCTCGGAGCCAGCCTGTGAGAGCCGAGGGCCGCGGGGGCGGGGCCGCGCGGGGCGGGGCGAGAGCGGGGGCGGGTTCCGCGAGGAGCCTGGCGCGCGGGTGCAGGCTGGCCGGGTAGGGGCGCTCGTCCCGTGAGGCCAGCAGGGGTGGACGCGCGCCCTGGGAAGCCCACCGGTCACCCGCTCCTTGGGCTCGCAGGGATGGGCCGAGGGCGTGCAGGGCCCGCAGCTCCAGGGGCTGAGGCGAGCTTGCGCGCAGCTTCCACGGCCGGCGCCATGCCCGTCCCGCCCGTCCGCGCGATCGGCCGCGTTCCGGGGGGCGGCGGCGGAAGGCGGCGCGAGGGGCGGACGTGGAGGCCGAGGCGGGCTCGTGCGCGCCTGGCCAGGGCCCGCCTTGACCGAACCCTTCCGCGGCCGGGTCCCCAGAGTGCGGTCGTCCGTGCTGTCCTGTCCCCACCACCGTCTCTGAACCCGAGGACCGAACCCGGTAGAACCCCCTCGCCACGGAGGACCTCCGGGTCTGCGTCTGGCCCACAGCTCTGCTCCAGGACTGCCGCGTCGGACCCGATAGAAAGCTCCTTCCTGGGGTTAGTGCTTCGGTAGCCCGCGCCACTCCCACGCCTCTAATGTCCCTGTTTTCTTGGTTTCATATCCCCTTTTAAAAAAAGTACATATATTTGAAGGCTGGATGCGGTGGCTCACGTAATCCCAGGACTTTGGGAGGCCAAGGCGGGCGGATCACCTGAGGTCAGGAGTTTCAAACCAACCTGGCCAACATGGTGCGCCGGTAATCCCTGCTACTCAGGAAGCTGAGGCAGGAGAATCGCTTGAACTCGGGAGGCAGAGGTTGCAGTGAGCAGAGATCAAGCCTCTGCACTCCAGCCTGGGCAACACAGTGCGACTCCGTCTCAAAAAAAAAAAAAAAAAAGTTAAAATGGTGAATTTTATGTATATTTTACCACAATAAAAATAGTAAAAGTCTACATTGTGATCTGGTACACACACGTATGAAAGAAAAGTTTCATGATTTAGTACATAATCTTATTTTGGGCAACGTCCTAACGTTTCTTTTTTTTTTTTTCTTTTTGACAGAGTCTTGCTCTGTCACCCAGGCTGGAGTGCAGTGGTATGATCTCGGCTCACTGCCACCTCCGCCTCCCGGGTTCAAGCAACTCTCCTGCCTCAGCCTCCCAGGTAGCTGGGATTACGGGCGCCCATCACTGTGCCCGGCTAGTTTTTGTACTTTTAGTAGAGACAGGGTTTCGTCATGTTGGCCAGGCTGGTCTCGAACTTCTGACCTCGGGTGATCCCCCTGCCTTGGCCTCCCAAAGTGCTGGGATTACAGGCGTGAGCCACTGCACCCAGCCTGTCCTAACGTTTCTATCTTCCTTTGTTTTTATTAACAAAATCCTGGGCACGACCTTCTGGGTGGCCTCGAGCAGCACCGTCAGCCATGCCTGCAGTCTGCCACCCCCTGCCTGCCCTGTGGTTGCACCGTCTATAACCCACTTTCCCACGGCCCACTCAGGACCACTGCCTTCCAGCTCCAGGGTTTGCTCCCTTTAGTGTCCCAGCTCCATGCCTCAGCATGCCCGCCACCTGGGGCTGCCCTCCCTGATGCCCACTTCCTCCCTGACCCCTTTCCCACACCCCACCCTTGCCTGTCCTGGAGAAATTCAGCCCACCTGCTACTGGGAAATGCACCTGGCTGCTTACTTTGGGGACACCAGTTTCTAGGGAAGCCTAGTCTTCCTGAAAACCCTCCACCTGCTCCACTTCTGGGTCTGTGCAGGTTCCACCATCCTGGAAGATGATCTCACACCTCCTCCCCTCTGTTAACTCTGTGTCCAACTTTACAGAGAACATAGAGATAGGAGAAGACTCCTCCCTGCCCCCACCACTAAATATCCCATCCTAAACATCCACTCTGCCTGCTGCCATGAACACATGGCTTGTCCATCGTCTGCACCCCACCGCTCACTGGGCTGCCCCCTCAGGGGTAGGAGCCACGCTATTGGCTCCACGTGCCCTCTTTACTATGCCCACCAGCTCTGCAACTCTTCAGGGCAAGATGACACAGAAGGGCACAGCCTGGGCTCCTCCCATGCCCCCTCTAATTCTCAGGGCCCCATCTCAACCGCGCCAACGTCATGTCACCAAATGTCACGTCCGGGCTCAGCCCACATCTTACTGGATGGTCCTACCAGCATTTCCTACAGTGGGGCGCTTTTTAAAAACACTTTCTTCGCTTAGATTCCAGGTCTCCACTCTCTCTTCCTCACTGGCCTCCCTTTCCCCACCTTCCTGATATTGGAGGCCCCAAAAGTTCAGCCCTTCTGTCTCCTCCCTTCCCTCCACTGGCCTGACAGGTGATCTCCACCAAGCCCACTGGCAGTGGAAGACCCTGCAAAGCATGCTACTGATCAAGTGTGTTCCTGGCCAAACACAGTGGCTCATGCCTATAGTCCCAGCACTTTGGGAAACTGGGACTTGAGTTCAGGAGTTCAAGACCAGACTGGGCAACGTGGTGAAACCCCGTCTCTGCAAGTGAGTGTGAGTGTGTGTGTGTGTGTGTGTGTGTGTATGCAAAAATTAGCCAGGTGTGGTAGCCACATGCCTGTAGTCCCAGGTACTTGGGAGGCTGACATGGGAGGATCACTTAAACCTGGTAAGTTGAGGCTGCAGTGAGCACTCCAGCTTGGGCAACAGAACAAGGCCCTGTCTCAAACAAAAAAGTGTGTTCCTCAGCACAAACCCTCCCATGACCCCCAAGCTCTCACCTACAGCTGCCCACTTCCAGTCCCAGTTGGAGGTCTACACTTTAAACCCAACACATACCAAACCAAGCCTCTGTCTCCACTGACTCAGTTAAGGGTGTGGCCATTTTTTGGGCACAGGCCAAATCCTCAGAGTCCTTCTTGAATCCTCTCTTTCCCTCACACCCCACATCTAACCCCTCAGCAAGTCCCTGGGTTCCCACTCCTGCCATCAACACCCAGGCTGAGCCACTCTCATCTCGTCTAGATTATTGTCATTGCTCAAGTGGTCTCCAAATTGTAAACTTTGCCTCCTTAACTCCACTCTTCACGGACTAATTCTTTTAGAACAAAAAGCCAGATCTGTACCTCCCCAAATGCACCAGGTCAAAGCTAGAGTTCATTGATGGGCTGCAGTGATTTGGCTCCTCCGTCTCTCTTCTCCTTCATTTCCTGCTACTCCCCCTGCAAGAGTTTGGTCAACTACAAAGCATAAAGTTTTTGTTTTGTGGTTTTCTTTTGAGATGAAGTTGCTCTGTTGCCCAGGCTAGAATGCAGTGGTGGGATCTTGGCTCACTGCAACGTGCACCTCCCAGGTTCAAATGATTTTTCTGCCTCAGCCTCCCAAGTAGCTGGGGTTGCAGGCACCCACCACCATGCCCCCTTAATTTTTTTTTTTTTTTTTTTTTGAGACAAGTTGCTCTTGTTGCCCAGGCTGGAGTGCAATTGCATAATCATGGCTCACTGCAACCTCCACCTCCCAGGTTCAAGTGATTCTCCTGCATCAGCTTCCCAGGTAGCTGGGATTACAGGCATGCGCCACCACACCTGGCTAAATTTTTTTTTTTCTTTCTTTTTTTTGAGATGGAGTTTCGCTCTTGTTACCCAGGCTGAAGTGCAATGGTGCGATCTTGGCTCACCGCAACCTCCGCCTCCTGGGTTCAAGGAATTCTCCTGCCTCAGCCTCCTGAGTAGCTGGGATTACAGGCATGCACCACCACGCCCAGCTAATTTTTGTATTTTTTTTAGTAGAGACGGGGTTTCACCAGGATGGTCTCGATCTCTTGACCTCGTGATTCACCCGCCTCAGCCTCCCAAAGTGCTGGGATTATAGGTGTGAGCTACTGCGCCCGGCTTTTTTTTTTTTTTGTATTTTTAGTAGAGATGGGTTTTCTCCATGTTGGTCAGGCTGGTCTCAAGCTCCTGACCTCAGGTAATCCACCCAACTTGGCCTCCCAAAGTGCTGAAATAACAGGCATGAGCCACCATGCCTGGCCTGTATTTTTTTTTTTTTTTTTTCAGTAGAGTTGGGGGTTTCACCATGTTGCCCAGGCTGGTCTCAAACTCCTGACCTCAAGCGATCCTCCCACATTGACCTCCCAAAGTGCTGGGATTACAGGTGTGAGCCAGTGCGCTGGGCCCAGAGTCTGTAGTGGGGCTCCATCACATAGGCACAGGTGAGGGCTCAGGAGGAGGAGCTCAGACCACAGCCTCTCGGTGTGACACGCAGCCCCTGCTCCGAATCTCGCAGTTGGTCTTTCTGCTTTGGTTGTCCCCACCTTAAAACACGCTGCCAGCAGATCCTCAGTGAATGACCCAGGACCCCTGATCAGCAAAGACACTCCTGTCTGGCAGGACGACCGCCAGGGCCTGGTGATCAGCTCCCAGAAGCAGATGCAGAGGCCGGCCCTCCCCCTGGGCAAGGTGAAACCCTTTGTGGAGCCATCCCCCATGGACTGCTCTCTAGATGCTCCCATGTCCTCGTCCTCGCTGCTCCCTGCCCTGCAAGGTTGCTCTCCTGTCAGCATCCTGCTCCCAGGAGCCCTCTCTGCACACTCAGGCTGCACCCTCTGCACTCTCTTCCCCTTGCACTGGTCTGTATATTTCCCCGTCGCTTGGTTATTGCCATCTCTCCTCCCCTCCCAGGATGCAAACGGGGCTGGGGGAGAGGCCTCGGTGTGTTCTCGGCTTGTCACTGAGAGCATCACGCAGAGAGCCACTCACAGGATGGCTGAGTATCAACCAAGACCCAAGACGCCAGGCCCCGTCCATGCTTAGGAAACGCTGGCCTTCCTCCAGGTGCCCAGCT